GCCGCGACGACGACGAAGGAAGTTTGGGATTGTCTTGTCACCGCTTTTGGAAATCCCACACGCGGACTCCTCCGTCAACTGCGCCATCACATCAAAACGACTCCTAAAGGAACCAAATCGATCAGTGAGTACCTTCGCATGATGAAAGCTAAAGCAGATGATCTTGTTCTGCTTGGCAAGCCGATGGATCCTGAAGATTTTTTAGAAGATGTCCTTTCTGGACTTGGTGAAGAATACAAACCTGAGATAGATGCTATTCATGGCCGCGACACTGTGATCTCTTTCACAGAACTCTATGAACGCTTGGTCAACCGTGAAGCTATGCTCCTCTGCGCCGATTCTCCCTCCGTTGGTCCTGTGGTAGCCAACGCCACAGACACTCGCCCTCGTCAACAGCAGCACACACCAAATTACAACCAACATCGGAACACCAATCACACCAACAATCCACAGCATCGGTTTAACAAACCATATCTTGGAAAATGTCAAGCGTGTGGTGTGCAAGGCCACAGTGCCAAGTTTTGTCCCGAGTTTCGCATGGTCAGAGGTTCTTCCTCAAATCAGTCATGGCAACCGCAGTTACCGCCTCAACAGTCCAACTTCGTGCCGTGGCAGCAACCACCATCATTTCAGACATGGCAGCCTCGTGCCAATGCCGCTATGCTCTCTGATTCCTCCACATGGCTTGTCGACTCCGGTGCCTCACATCACATGACGGCTGACCTGGGTAATCTCGCTTCGCATAATCCATATGGTGGGGGTGACGATGTGCTTCTTGGTGATGGTTCTGCATTACCAATTACACACTCTGGTTTTATTTTTCTTCCTTCTTACACACGCCCTTTTCATTTAAACAATGTTTTGTGTGTTCCATCCTTGGACAAAAATCTAATCTCAGTTTTTCAATTATGTAAGACTAATGGTGTTGCTGTCACTTTTACACCAACGTATTTTCAGGTCCGGGATCTTCAAACGGGGGCTCTGAGTCTGGAAGGCAAACCTAAAGATGGTACTTATGAGTGGCCTAAGTTAACCTCCTCCAAACCACCCTCTCTTGCATTTGCTTCCACCGTTAAAGCTAGCTTGTCCGACTGGCATTCTCGTTTAGGACACCCTTCTTTATCTATTCTTCAAAAACTAGTTTCTCAATTTCATTTACCTGTCTCTTCAAATGTTTTAATGGCACAGCCATGCTCTGCTTGCTCTATTAATAAAATGCACAAGTTACCGTTTTCAAAATCAACCTTGACTTCTTCTCAACCGCTTGATATAGTATTTTCAGATGTTTGGTCTTCACCTATGATTTCTATAGATGGTTTTAAATACTACATCATTTTTGTTGACCATTTCACTAGATATACATGGCTGTATCCTTTAAAACAAAACTCTCAAGTTTACAATGTTTATCTCACGTTCAAAAATTTGGTTGAAAATCAATTTCAAACCAAATTGAGGACTCTATATACTGATAATGGGGGTGAATACATTGGTCTACGACCATTCCTCTCTACTCAAGGTATCTCTCATAAGACCAGTCCGCCTCATACTCCTGAGCATAATGGTCTGGCTGAAAGACGTCATCGTCATATTGTCGAGACCGGCTTAGCACTGATGTCGCATGCTTCTATGCCAAAGTCTTATTGGACTTATGCTTTTGGTGCAGCTGTTTATCTGATAAATCGGATGCCTACACCAACTCTTAATTTTCAATCCCCTTTTCAATGTTTATATGGTTATGCTCCGAATTATCAGAAATTACGTGTTTTTGGGTGCTTATGCTTTCCATGGTTGAAACCCTATGCATCTCATAAATTAGATGCTCGATCGACACCTTGTGTCTTTTTAGGGTACTCCATTTCACAAAGTGCCTATTTTTGCCTCGACAGAGCTACTACACGGATTTATACGTCACGCCATGTTATTTTTCACGAAACAGTTTTCCCATTTGCCATTCCATCTCCTATAGAAACGACTGACGTTTTTGAGAACACAGAAACTGAACGACCGTCATCTTATCCTTTAGTCACTATCATTCCTCAACCTGCTCTTACTGTTCCTCCAGCCACTATACCATCTCCCCAGACACAGAGCTCCCCCACTCTAACAACTTCACATGCTCCTTCGTCTTCTTTCTTTGTTTCAGGGTCCGACGCTGCACAGCCACAAGATGTATCCACGACGGCCCCTCTGCCTCCTTCTTCTCCTACACCACAGTCGAATATGGTACAGCCTTCACCAGCACCACAGGCGATACCTCTGGCTCCTCCACAGCCTTCACCAGCACCACAGGCGATACCTCAAGCTCCTCCACAGCCTACACGAACCAGCAACCGTATCCGGAAACCAGTTCAAAAGCCGAATCTTCATACAAGTGTCTCACAATGCTCGGAAACAATTCCGAAAACCGTAGCAGAAGCGTTGAAAAGTCCACATTGGCGTAAAGCCATGAGTGATGAAATCAACTCTCATATCCGAAATCATACGTGGGACATTGTTCGCTCAACTAATGCTTCTAATATTGTTGGTTGCAGGTGGGTGTTTACGATCAAACGGCTACCTGATGGCACTATCGACAGATATAAAGCACGTCTGGTAGCTAAGGGCTATAATCAGCAGCCTGGCATCGACTACCATGAGACGTTTAGTCCCGTCGTGAAACCAGCCACCATTCGCATTGTTCTCAGCACAGCTGTCTCACGCGATTGGTCCATGCGCCAACTCGATGTAAACAATGCCTTTCTCCAAGGTCATATTTGCGACGAGGTCTATATGGTCCAACCACCAGGGTTTCAAGACAAAGACAACCCCGACGGGATCTGTAAACTTCACAAAGCAATATACGGTCTCAAACAAGCTCCCAGAGCTTGGTACAATGAACGTCGTACCTTTCTACTTCAATCGGGCTTTAAGAACTCCGTCGCCGATGCCTCTCTTTTCATCTACAAGCAGCACACAACTCTCCTCTACATGCTTGTCTATGTGGACGACATCATCATCACTGGCAACAGCCAATCTCATATTTTCCGGTTTATCGATTCCCTTTCTCAACGTTTTTCACTTAAAGACTTAGGCGACCTTTCTTTTTTCTTAGGTATAGAGGTTACTCGAACCAAGCAAGGCATTCATCTAACTCAAGAACGTTATATTGCAGATTTACTTCACAAGGCAAACATGAGCAATGCCAAACCTGTGTCCACACCAATGGAAGCAAACTCGATGCTCACACTTCACTCGGGTACAATCTTATCCGATGCCACGGAATATAGAACGATAGTAGGAAGCCTTCAATACCTTTCTCTCACTCGACCAGACATCTCTTTCTCTGTCAACAAACTATCTCAATTCATGCACCGTCCAACCACCGATCACTGGACTGCCGTCAAACGCATACTTCGCTACCTTTGTGGAACTCAAACTCAGGGCATCTTTCTCCGAGCTAACAACTCTCCGCAACTTCACGCCTACACTGATGCAGATTGGGCGGGCAACCGAGATGACTATACCTCCACTGGCGCTTACATTGTATACCTCGGCAGTCATCCAATTGATTGGTCTTCAAAGAAACAAACCGGCGTTTCTCGTTCTTCTACCGAGGCAGAATATCGATCTGTAGCAGCGACCACATCTGAAATCTGTTGGATTTCATCTCTGCTCTCTGAAATGGGAATCACGGTCTCCACAACACCAGCAATATATTGTGACAACATTGGTGCCACATACTTGGCAGCAAATCCGGTTTTCCACTCTCGCATGAAGCATATCGCTTTGGACTACCACTTTGTCCGTCAATTTGTTCAATCCGGTCAACTCCGTGTCACTCATGTTACCTCTGCAGATCAGTTGGCCGACGCTCTCACCAAACCCCTCTCCCGATTACGATTTCAAACGTTATCAGTCAAGATCGGACTTCCTCCAGCCGTCCGTCTTGAGGGGGTGTGACAGAATATGGAAACATATATTAGACAGCTCCTCTAATTGATCCTGTAATTACTTTTGTATATTCATTCCTTGTAAAGAGATCTCCCTCTGTGTGTATATAAACAGAGCACTACTCATGAATAAAATCATTGATTACCATAAGTTTAATAGATAAAGTTTCATTTTCTCTTATGTAAGTCAGACAGAGTCGATAGAGGTTGTTCGATGGAATAACTATTTTACTAACCAAAACTTGATTTAACCAAATAGTTAGTTGACAAAATATAATTAAATGCATAACTCTCTTTTTTGTTTAATTTTTCATTTTATATTTTTAATTTTCTAATAAAATTCTATTCCAATGTTTCGTATATGATATATATTAATTTATTATGATTTTAATGTTTATGATGTGTTTTGATCAAGTTATTTCAAAAGGTTATGAATAATTTCAAAAGGTTGTTTCAATGCTAGCATGCATGTTTCACATACACAGGGGCAGACGTAGTTAGCGTCCAACGAGGTCCCGCAGCCTCTACTATTTTTTATTTTTTAAAAATAATTTAAGTAAATCTACTTAAAATATTTTAAATTTAGAGGTTAAAAAAGAAAAATTTACCTCTAATTAATTTTTTTTTTCCTGTTTATAAAACTATACCCTAACTAATTTTTTTTTCTGGATTTGCCACTACATATATATACGTGTATATATATATTAATCATTTCATTCTGACAATTATCAAAAAGATTAAACGAAAATCATATAAATATCTTCATCATTTCATTCTGACACTTTCAAAAGATAAAAACAAAAATCGAAAATGATGATTCTTAATATAGTAATAACAATACAAGATTGATTACCCAAAAAAGATAATAATACAAGATCCTATACCAGTTGTATTTGTTTTTGGAATCAGTCTTTTTGGTTAAGAATATTATAAACAAAATAATAATAAAGTAATGCAAATTGCTGTCACAAGGTTACCAGTTATGACTTTTTGCCTTAATTCATTATAACCCACACAAAAAAACGAAGAAGAGAAGAAGAAATTCCAAAAGAGAGAAAAAAACAGGAAAAAATGAGTTCTTCTTTCTCTTCTTCTTCTTCTTCTCGCAAGAAGTTTTTGGATTCAGGACTTGTGATCGGACAAAAAGAAGTAACAAGAATTTTGATTCTGTTTCTTGTTTTGACTGCATCAGGTCTGGTTTTATACAAAACAGCTTATCCTCTGCAACGACTTGATGTCGTCAACAATCTCACCTCTCTTCTCGCTTCTCGATCTCCACCATTTCCAAATCTCAAATCATCAGAAATTTCTGCAGAAATGGTAATCTCTCATCAGTATTCAGATATGATTCAACTTTTTTTTTTGTCCCCCACTAATATTTTATGTTTTTTCCCCTATTCTGCCTATGTGAATCACTCTTTTTAGACTAATAAATTAGAATTCACTTTTTTAACCCCATTTGCACATATGAAATACAGTAGTGTTGATTAAACTTGTTTAGTATAAAACAAAACTAAACATATAAGTGTAGTTGAGTTACATTGTAATGGAGGTTTTTAAGTCCAATTTTGTTGTTGTTTCAGAAAAAATCAGATATCACATTGAGAAAGATTTTAGAGAATGCGTCGACTAAGAACAATACAGTGATTATAACGACACTGAATCAAGCTTGGGCAGAACCAAAATCCATATTTGATCTCTTCTTAGAGAGTTTCCGTATTGGACAAGGAACACAACAGCTTCTGAAACATGTAGTTGTGGTTTGCTTGGATCCCAAGGCGTTTCAACGATGCTCACAGCTTCATTCTAATTGCTATTACCTTGAAACTTCAGACACTGATTTCTCTGGTGATAAAGCTTACAACACTCCTGATTATGTCAGGATGATGTGGCGCAGAATCGAGCTTCTTATGCAAGTTCTCGAAATGGGTTTTAACTTCGTATTTACGGTATCAATCTATGGTCTTGATTCTTCATATATACCTTTATTTATTTTGTTCAAGATATAGAACTAATGACTTATAGACAATTCTTGTGTATGTTATTATAAACCTAGGACGCAGATGTAATGTGGCTTAGAGATCCATTTCCTCGGCTATATCCAGATGGAGATTTTCAAATGGCATGTGATAAATTCTTTGGAAATGCTTCCGGTTTAGACAATTTGGCCAATGGAGGGTTCGTATATGTGAAATCGAACAATCGAAGCATTGAGTTTTACAAGTTCTGGTACAAATCTCGTCTGATTTATCCATGGTTACACGATCAAGATGTGTTCAACAAAATCAAGAACGAGCCTTTTATATCTGAGATTGGAATCCAAATAAGATTTTTTGATACGGTCTACATTTGTGGGTTTTGTCAACCGAGCAAAGACATGAACTTGATTTGCACAATGCATGGTAATTGTTGCCTTGGTACGGAGAAGAAGATTCATGATCTGAATCTTATTCTTGATGATTGGAGAAAGTATATGTTTTTGTCAAAACATGTGGAGAATACGACTTGGAGTGCTCCTAAGAGGTGCTTGGAGAAATAAAAATTTATTTAATAGATTTTGATGAAAATTAATTTCAAAAACGAAGACTATTTATTGTGATGTAAGGAAACTGTTCTACTTAGTTTAATCAAATTCTCTTTTTTTTTTTTGGTTATATATAATCTTGGAAAATTTTAGTCAATGTGAACTTGTTTGTGCTAGAAAAGAAAATGATTTTTTTTAATGGTGTTTTTGGTTTCAAAGGTTATTGTTGATGCGAAAACGTGCTACCAGCAAATAGCCATTACCAACATGTCAAATTATTAAATGAACAAATTGGTTTCCAGAACTTCATTCATTATGACAATTAAGGATATCCAAATCAAAAAATTGGTATGCTTTTGGCTTCGACACATTATCCGAACCCGAACAATTTATCCAAACCTGATTCGAATAAGAAGAACCGAATTCGAACTAAAACTGATAAAACATTCAAATGGTTTTTAAATTTTTAAATCCGAAAAATCGAAATCAAACCAAACTGAACCAAAAATCCGAATGGATATCCGAAAATCTGAAATACAATTATATACCCAAAATACTAACTATATTTAAACTTAATAATCTAAAATTACAATTACAAAAAAAATAAGTTATTTTTATTCTAAAAATGATGAAGAAAACCCAAAATAGTCTAAATATACTAAAGTTTTTAGTTATAGTTGTTAAGTTTTGTCAAATTTTATTTAAATTTAACCAATTTTATTAAAATTTATTAAAATTTATTTAATTTTAATTATTTTTTGGATACCCAAACCCGAATCGAATCCAATTGGATATAACCGAACTCGGACCAAAATTCTAAACATACTCGAATGGGTTTTAAATATGAAAACTGAAAATCCAAAACCCAAATTATCCGAACCGAATCCGATCGAATATCAGAGCTTTATTACAGTATAAGAAATGACTTCAATTTTGAAGCTAAAATATTCCCCCTTCCACCTCCAATATAATATCCCAAACTATTTCTTTCCAGACTTTTTTTACTTCTATCACTAGACAACGCAAAATAATAATCTAATAAATTTAATCGTTAAACTATTTAATCTATACTAATATAGAGATTTTGGTTTTTGAACATATACTAATATAGAGATTATTTGGAGTTTCTTGTAGAGTCATTTCGTAGAACTAATAAGATTCTTCTTCGATGAGGGTCCTCAACTTCATATTTGGGCATATGGCACAGAACCATGATTTTCAGAGCTGATCTCTAAGAGGATATATATCTTGTGGCTGAATTTTTGTGGTCGGACTACGAGCCCCTTTTTTATTTTTGTTTTATTTTAGAAGGCATTGGCTCAATCTTTGTTTTTGTCTACCTGCATGCGTTTTATTTATGTTTTATGTTCGGTGTTGATGCCGTGAACTTTAAGATTAACCATTTTACAATGAAAACAAATTTACGGAAAAAAATGCATACAATTCCTATAGTTATGATCGGCTCTGTTAGCTCGTGACTTCACCTTTTCTTGAAGCATAAGACCAGCTCCAATCCTAAATCTCATGTTGGGGTTCATGAGCTTTTTTTATTATTTTTTGTGAAGAATCATATCTTAGATGAACCTGGTGGTAATTTGGACTTCCAACCCTGAACTCCAAATGGGTTGGAGGATGAACCATAGATAACGAAGCTTAGAAACCCAGAAAATTAATTTCAGAAGAGAAAAGGAAATAATTAATAAAAAAATTGATTTTCCCCACCAAAAGCCAATACCCGCACGGCATGTGGCTGAAGAACTTGATGGTACGGGTTTATCCTACTCATCTCAATGAGACAGTATCATCACTTAAATGAGCTTAAACAATTAAAAAAAATCCAAATAATTAATTTGGGTCCCACTGATGAACCCCAACAACCTGCGTTGGAGGTGGTCTAATAATGAGTTAAGAGTTTTTTATTCAAACCGTCACAAGTTATAGGTGAGTAGGCCTTCTAATTATCATGGTTTGTCGGTCGTTTATCTCTGTTGTTAGTCGGAGATCAGATCGTAACTTGTTATATTTGTTTTTTTTTCTTTATGGTTTCTGTATCGCTGTGTAATCACGGTTCTTTGTGGCTCCCTTTCTTTAAGCTTGATTTTCTTTTTTTTGGACTCTAGTTTCTAAAAATATTTTTTCCACTTGCTTAAACTATTTTTGGTCATCTAAAAAATTTTATTCATAACTATGGACTTACACAAATCCGACCGAGGTAAAAAACTTTTCCGAAACCAGGGGAATAAACATATTTCCTCGAGCCGTAAGGTGGCAGATTATAAGAATATCTCCAACAACTAAGATAAACTGCAAAAATAAACGGATAGCAAAACAAAACACTTCTAGATAGGGGGGAATTAAGCATAGACTGTATAGATCATGTTCAATGAAGCAACTCTAAAGAGATGTTTAAGTATTATTTAATTATTTTTTGACACATGTTTCATAAGCGTCTCATAAACAGCAGAGTTTAAAGCTCTTGTTTAAGCATCGATTCTTTTTTATTGTATTTATTTGATTAATTTTTTTAAAGAAAAACACATAAGCACCTCTGTTAAGTGTTCCGGTTGAACATGCTCTAAGGTTGAACATGCTCTAAGGTTGCTATTTAAATTTCAATAAGATAACTTCAAATGTAAAAAAAGAAAGAAAAAGACAGCTCTCACTTTGAAAGGACTTAAATGGGTCCCAAACAGATGGATCCTAATGTCAACTCTACAAGTAATCTAAGTTCGGCCCAGAAACCTGATGGTCCACTCTACATTTCTCATTAAATGAACCCACAAAAAAAACGTTAAGAAACAAAAATATTTACCAGCCAAAAAATGAATTTTTTTTAGTTCAAACTTCAAAGGATTCTACAGAGCCTTTTTATTTTAAAGAGTCAAAGATTTGGAATCGTTGTTTTCGGCGGCGCGTATTGTAAACAGAAGATTTCATTTTTACTTTATAAAATTATTAATTAATCAATAAATTAAATAAAGCTCTCCTCTCGTCGTATCTAAAAAAAAAACGAATTTTTAACTATAACAAGCTTCAAGCCGAAAAACAGTTTTAAAACTTTAAAACATCAAAGTAGAAACTGAGAATCTAGTGAACTTCAACCCAAAATAAAAACTCCTTCGAAAAAAACAGAAAGATCAATGGCGATTCTCTTACTTTTTCATCTCCGTCAATCACAACAACTGTGGTGGAGAGATAGAAGAGAGAAAGACAAGAAGGATTCGAAACGGAGGAAGAAAGCCAAAAAAAAAAAATCGAGAGAGAAAGGTGTTTGTTTTGGTGAGAGAGAGAGACACGTGGCGTGATATGAGAGGTTGAGGTCACTCTCCGTTCTCCGGTTCTGTCTCTAGTTGCGGTGCGTGCCATGTCAGAGTCCGTTCCCCTATGAGCCCGGCGAATCCGAATCATATGCCTCTCTTCTCTCTCTCTCTCTCTACACAAAGACTTTCTCTCTCTTTATTTATTTATCGTTTCGCGTGTCGCGTCTTAATCTCTCTTCTCTCTCTCTCCCTTTCCTTTCGTATCGTAACCTCTCTTCTCTCTCTCTCTCGTGGAGGCCGTGCCCTAGAAGCCTTTCCCCCCTTTTCTTCCGGTTCACTTCAATCCCTAGCTTCCTTCGCCGGATTTCTCCTCCCTTGATCATCGGACTAGTGTTTCTACTCCTTTCTCCGATTCGTTGCTCTCAGATTTGGTAAGCTGTCTCTATCTCTGCGTTTCTTCTCCATGGATTCTCGATGCTGATTTGCTTTTTGTTTGGGGTGGGTTTTTGATGGTTCTGTGAGGTTAATGCTGTTTAATTAAGGAGTGATTTAGTGATTTTATGGTTTAATTGGGTGTGGAATTGGGTTTTGAGCCTTGTGGTTTAGTGTCAATGTGTGTTGTAGAATTCTCGTGGCTTGTTTTGTTTTCTTGAATCTCAGTGAATTGGTTTGTTTTTGTTTGCTTTTGATTAGATTCAAGTGGTGAAGATATCGTTTCGAGTTTAATGTGATTTGCCTAAGGAAGGAATCTGCCATTAGTGTTTTTTTTAAGGTTTAAGTCCATAAAAATATTATGGAGCTTATTATATTTGACTCTAGAGTTCTTTGCGTTAAGTAGAATATCATCAATCTTTGTTTCAAGACTGTCTACGTTTTGTATTAGAGGAATGTATTAAGTGTTAACATAATGGAAGTATTCACAGGGAGAGAGGGATCGAATCGTTTATCATTAAAGATGAGATTAGATTATTTACTAGGTTTGTGTCTCATCCATAATTGAGACTCTAGATTACGTTTATCATCAATGAGTTTAGTTCTTCATTTTCTGTTTATCATTTTATATGATTATTGACTTGCACGCCTCTCCTGTCTGTTTGATGATCTTCCTTAGTACTTTTTTGGTTCGATATTTGTAAGCATGTGCATAATTTAACAACCTACTTGCTGTTTATGTGCCTCTTACTCGGTTTCCTTTTGCAATTTTTGGTGTAGAAGACAAAGTTCTTTGAAGGCCAGTATCTGTAGATACTGTGTAGCTGTGATTTACACATGAAGGTCTATCCAGTTCTTTATCAGGCAGATGGTATGACTACAAAAATAGAAGATGAAAGATTCATGCAGTGAAATGATTAATAGAGATTGGGTCATGAAGCAGAAACGAAGAAAACTTCCCTGTATACTGGATATATTAGACAAAAAAATGGATACTTCTGTGGCTGCTTTTGATACTCCAGAATACGCTTCTTCCGATAAACCAACTAAGCATCGGCTTAGTACTGATTCAACTCCTGAAAGAACCTCCTCTAAAAGGAAGGGAAATGATGGGGTAACCTCAGTTTCTCTGGTGTTGCTTTAAAGTTTCTCTCTTCTTTATTTCGTATATGCTTTTGTTCTATTAATGACTTCTCCTTTTGGTTACAGAATTATTTTGAATGTGTTATCTGTGACCTTGGTGGTGATTTATTGTGCTGTGATAGTTGTCCTCGGACCTATCATACCGAATGCCTCAATCCGCCTCTTAAGGTAAACGATTTTTTCATTTTTTTTTTTTCATTTGTCCTTCCGTGATAATAGTGTATAGGAATTACGAAGAGAAAGCTTAATTTGGAAAACTTATCTTACTCCTTATCTCTTCTCCTCTAGCGTATTCCAAATGGCAAGTGGATCTGCCCAAAGTGTTCCCAAAACAGCGATGCGCTAAAGCCTGTAAATCGACTAGATGCCATTGCAAAGCGAGCAAGAACGAAAACCACGAAAAGGAATTCACAAGGCGGAACAAAGTGCGAGAGAGCTTCTCAGATTTATTGCAGTTCTATAGTTTCTGGAGAACAGTCTTCAGAGAAAGGGAAATCTGTTTCCGCTGAGGAGAGCAAATCCATAGGAAAGGAAGTTTATTCCTCCCCGATGGATGGTTGTTCTGCTGAGGTTGGTCATGCATCTGTGGATGACCGAGCCGGTTCCTCGTCTCATGAAGAAGATGATCTTGGAAAACCTGTCATACCCACTGCAGATCCACCTTCCCGTGAAGATCTCTCCGAGTCTAAGCTATCAAATACCGAAAAAGATCATGAAGCACCCGTGGAAAACAAGACAATTGTTGAAGCGGAGAGTGGAAAAGGTAAAAGGAAAAAACGAAAGCGTGAACATAATGATGGGGAAACTCTTAAAAAGTGCAAGACTGACAAGAAACGTGCAAAAAAAAGTTTGTCCAAAGTGGATTCTCAGAATACCAAAACATCGGAGTCTTCGAAAAAGAAGAAAAAGAAAAACCGTGTGACGTTGAAATCCTTGTCCAAAACCCCGCCCAAGGTGGAAATACCAGAGAAAGTGAAGGTATGTTTTCTAAATTATCATAGGTTTTGTAGACATTCTACTCTGTATTTAATGCTGAGTATCTTCTGCATTAATGTGAAGAGTTTTTGGTCAATACTGCATATAATGTTCCTGTTCTGTCCTGAAGATTGTGCTCTTGTGAATTGAAAGTGTGCCATTTTGTTCTGCTTAGCATTCTACAACATCTGTATATCATTTAATCTCCCTGCCCAACCTCAATATGATTTGCCGGTTTATTAGTGGTGTGGATTCTCACAAGGCATTGTGATACATGTACTATACCACTATACCTCTAATTTGGCAGATGAATTGTGAATTTCTCTTTCAACTGGGGAGCTTGGAAATAGTTTTTTGTTTATTCATTAGAATTTTGAAAAGCAAATCCCGATTATCTAGAGTTGAGATCTTGTATTTCATTTAGTATATTTAGTATACGTTCTTATCCAGCTATGTGTTAATAATGCAGAAGCTTTCCAAGGAAGAACGTCGTTCAATACGTGATACAGATAAATCTTCCAGTTATTTGGATGACAAAAACTCTGTTCCTCCTGCGAACCTACAGGTAATCAACCCTCAGAAAATTTCTTGTTCCTGTAGAATATTCTCTGATGATGTGCCTTCTTTCCTGGAAACTTATGTGTTGTTCATGCTTGGTAATATATGATTTTCCTTCTTGTTTGGGGTTCCTATCAGGTGGATCGTGTTTTAGGATGTCGAATTCAAGGTCCGAATAAAACCTCGCTGTGTAGTGCTCTTTCAGATGACTTGTGCTCTGATAATTTACCAGCTAATGACCAGCGAGATAGCTCAGTGCAAGATACAAATGCTGAATTAGTTGTTGCCGAGGACAGAACAGATTATTCTTCTGAGACAGGTAAAAGTTCCAGGGATTCACGCATGAAGGATAAAGATATGGATGAATCTGCTTTAGGTACTGAGGGTTTGGTTGAGGGGAAAGAAGATATGCTCTCAGAAGATAGTTCTGATGCCGAATTAAGTAAACATGTGGATAATGAAGATATAAAAGCTAGTGAAATACCTGTCTCTGTTGAGGGGGAGTTACTTAAAGATGCACATAAGGAATCGGGGAAAAAATGCCCTGTGTCTGGGGAAGTAGTTGAGGAGCCTATTGCCGCTAAAGTTTCAGATCTTAATGGAGAGACTGTGTCATATGAGTTTCTTGTTAAATGGGTGGGAAAATCTAATATCCATAACAGTTGGATTTCTGAGGCGGACCTCAAAGGTCTTGCTAAAAGAAAATTAGAAAACTATAAAGCAAAATACGGAACAGCTCTAATAAATATCTGTGAAGATAAATGGAAACAGCCTCAGCGAATAATTGCTCTCCGGGTTTCAAAAGAAGGTAACCAAGAAGCTTATGTAAAATGGACAGGTCTAGCTTATGATGAATGCACATGGGAGAGCTTGGAGGAGCCTATTCTTAAGAAATCACCCCATTTGATAGATCTTTTTCAGCAGCATGAGCAGAAAACATTGGAAAAGGATATGACTAAGGGCAATTCCCCAAGGTCAAGGAATGAGGGTCAGCAAAGTGAAGTTATTACCCTCACAGAACAACCTCAAGAGCTAAGTGGAGGCGCCTTATTTCCCCATCAGCTTGAGGCCTTGAATTGGTTGCGTAGATGCTGGCATAAATCGAAAAATGTAATACTTGCTGATGAGATGGGGCTTGGAAAAACAGTGTCTGCCAGTGCATTTCTCTCCTCGCTTTATTTTGAATTTGGAGTTGCAAGACCTTGTTTGGTTTTGGTTCCGCTTTCAACAATGCCAAATTGGCTATCCGAGTTTTCTCTTTGGGCTCCACTCCTTAATGTTGTGGAGTATCATGGAGGCGCAAAAGCAAGAGCCATTATTCGAGACTATGAGTGGCATGCTAAGAATTCTACTGGGACGACCAAGAAGATGATGCCTTACAAATTTAATGTCCTTTTAACTACTTATGAAATGGTTCTGGCCGACTCATCTCATTTACGTGGAGTTCCATGGGAAGTTCTTGTGGTTGATGAAGGGCATCGTCTAAAGAATTCAGAAAGTAAGCTGTTTAGCTTGCTCAACACATTCTCTTTTCAACACCGTGTACTTTTGACTGGCACCCCTCTTCAAAATAACATTGGTGAGATGTATAATCTGCTCAACTTCTTGCAACCATCTTCATTCCCTTCCTTGTCTTCTTTTGAGGAGAGGTTCCATGATCTGACAAGTGCTGAGAAAGTTGAGGAACTGAAGAAACTTGTTGCTCCTCATATGCTTCGCCGACTTAAAAAGGATGCCATGCAGAATATTCCTCCAAAGACAGAGAGGATGGTCCCTGTTGAGTTGACAACAATCCAAGCTGAATATTATCGGGCAATGCTAACTAAGAACTATCAGATACTACGAAATATCGGGAAAGGGGTAGCACAACAATCAATGCTTAACATCGTGATGCAGTTGAGAAAGGTGTGCAATCACCCATATCTCATACCCGGTACGGAGCCGGACTCTGGGTCATTGGAGTTTCTTCATGACATGAGAATAAAAGCATCAGCCAAGTTGACTCTGTTGCACTCCATGCTTAAGGTGCTTCACAAGGAAGGCCATAGAGTTCTGATATTTTCACAGATGACGAAGCTTCTAGACATTCTGGAGGACTATTTGAATATAGAATTTGGGCCCAAAACATTTGAGAGGGTGGATGGTTCTGTTGCTGTAGCTGATCGTCAGGCAGCTATAGCACGATTCAACCAAGACAAAAATCGGTTTGTCTTTTTGTTATCAACACGTGCATGTGGTCTTGGTATCAATCTGGCAACGGCTGATACTGTTATTATCTATGACTCTGATTTTAACCCTCACGCTGATATCCAAGCCATGAATAGAGCTCATCGAATTGGACAGTCCAAACGACTTTTGGTATATAGACTTGTCGTCCGTGCCAGTGTCGAAGAGCGTATTTTGCAGCTGGCCAAGAAGAAGTTGATGCTCGATCAGCTTTTTGTAAACAAGTCCGGATCTCAGAAGGAATTTGAAGATATTCTGCGCTGGGGTACCGAAGAACTTTTCAGTGACTCTGCTGGTGAGAACAAGAAAGATGCATCTGAAAGTAATGGCAACTTAGATGTAATCATGGATTTAGAAAGTAAGAACAGGAAAAAAGGTGGTGGCCTGGGAGATGTTTACCAGGACAAATGTACAGATGGAAATGGGAAGATTGTTTGGGATGAAACTGCAATTATGAAGTTGCTTGACCGGTCAAATATTCAATCAGCCTCCACCGATGGCGCTGATACCGAGTTGGAGAATGATATGCTCGGCTCCGTAAAGGTGAGGAATCATCTTTATATGTTTCTCTTGCTAAATGACATGTTGACATGAACCTTTTAAAGTCACAAATGATATGCACAATTATTATATGGTTTCCAGATGCTAGTTTTTCTCTTGCATTTGGTCCGCAAATAGGAATTGGTAGAGAGTATAGCTTAGCTGATTAAAGAGGAATAGTAAAATATCCTCACTGGATTTACTGATATTACCCGTGTTCACCTGAAGAGTAGTTTTCGTTGCTTTAAGCTACATAGTTAAGATGTTTATTGTGTATGTTTTTGTCCAAAATGATAATTATATTGCTTCCGTTGTAATGGTGTATATGTTTCTTCTTAAACAGCCTGTGGAATGGAATGAGGAAACAGCTGAAGAACAAGTTGTTGCTGAATCACCTGCTCTGGTGACTGATGATACTAATGAACATAGTTCAGAGAGGAAAGAAGATGATGTAGTTAATTTTACGGAAGAAAATGAATGGGACAGGCTTCTGCGTATGAGGTTGGAGTTCCCTTTTGCTTCGAGTTCAGAGACTTTGCTCTGTTATTTGCTTCGGTCAAATTGGCAGCATACGTTCTTGCTTTGACTACTTATTACTTGTTAGCTGATTTTCATGCGGACAACTGTATTGTAGATGGGAGAGATATCAGAGTGAGGAAGAAGCAGCGCTTGGTAGAGGGAAGCGTTTGAGAAAGGCTGTTTCGTACAGGGAAGCATATGCCCCACATACAAGTGGAGCTGTTATCGAGGTAACCGTTTTACTCTACACCCAAAAGCATATTTTTGTGGATATGAATACCATTGTCATGTCAGTTACCAAGATTCCTGATTTATAAATATTGCAGAGTGGTGGTGAAGATGAGAAAGAACCAGAACCAGAAAAGGATTATACACCTGCAGGGCGAGCCTTAAAAGAAAAGTTGTAAGTTAAAGTTCCAAGTCTATTCATTGTTCGACATTTGCTAGGTTGATACTAATGAAGTTGAATGTTTTCGAACTTTTCCAAGATATATTTTACTTAGACTAGAGATTGTGATCTTTCCTGGTGAGAAGTCAAGAGAAGATTCTGTATCATATCAATATCAGTATATGGTCTCGTGAAGTGAAGTCTGTAGCTCCTTTTCACGCTTATTTCAAGATCTTGAATAACGTTATCTTTGTTTTCTGCAAAACAGTACGAAGCTGCGAGAAAGGCAAAAAAATAGGCTTGCGAAAAGGAATTCTGTTGAAGATTCAATTCCTAATGGCAATATGGATCAGGTGACTGAAGCAGCTAATCAGGACAAAGAAAGCCCTGCAATGATGGATTTGGACGAAGCTAGCCAACAATTTGATGCACAGAAAAGAAAAGATACCTCACTAAGGCTAGACAGTCCTACAGCAGATCTTCCAAGCCAACATCATCACGGCGGAGAATGTCCGCCATCTTTACCCCCAAACAACCTGCCAGTTCTTGGACTGTGTGCTCCTAATTTTAATCAATCAGAACCATCCCGGAGAAATTATTCTCGTCCAAGTAGTAGACACAGAACCATAACAGGACCCCATTTTCCTTTCAATCTACCCCAGACATTGAGCTCGGTCGAGAGGGAAGCAAACAACCAGGAGCCTTCTATAGGTAAACTAAAACCACATAATGTAAAGGAGGAACCTTCTCAGCAGCCTCTTAGTAATATGGATAGTTGGCTACCACTTCGTCCGGTATTTCCCTCTCTCCTTTACATGCAGATGCAATTTCTTCTAACACATCTACTTTCCGTCAACATACATATACAACATAGACATATTGTATACTTATATTTGGGTTAAATCTTTTGCATATTGCAGTTTCCTCCGTCAGGGGATTTTGAGCGTCCTCGAAGTTCTGGTGCTGCTTTTGCTGATTTCCAGGAGAAGTTTCCGCTACTTAACCTACCATTTGATGATAAGCTGCTTCCTCGATTTCCATTTCAACCGAGAACCATGGGAACTTCACATCAAGAAATCATGGCCAATCTTTCGTTGAGGAAAAGATTTGAAGGTACTGGTCATTCTATGCAAGACCTATTTGCCGTACCACCAATGCCGTTTCTACCAAATATGAAAGTCCCTCCTATGGATCCACCTGTATTAAGCCAGCAAGAGAAGGAATTACCGCCTTTGGGTTTGGATCAATTTCCATCAGCTCTTTCATCTATCCCGGAGAACCATCGGAAGGTGCTGGAGAATATAATGTTAAGAACAGGTTCTGGAATTGGGCACTTGCAGAAAAAGAAAACAAGAGTAGATGCATGGTCCGAGGATGAACTAGATTCTCTCTGGATTGGGATTCGCAGACATGGGTATGGAAACTGGGAGAGTATTCTTAGAGATCCAAGACTAAAATTCTCTAAATTTAAAACTCCGGAGTACTTGGCAGCGAGGTGGGAAGAAGAGCAGCGTAAATTCTTGGATAGCCTTTCTTCTCTTCCATCTAAATCAAGCAGGACAGATAAGTCCACCAAATCTCCATTATTTCCTGGCCTTCCTCAAGGTATAATGAACCGGGCTTTACATGGAAATAAATATGCCACTCCTCCAAGGTTCCAATCCCATCTCACAGACATAAAGCTTGGATTCAGCGACTTAGCATCTACACTTCCGTTATTTGAGCCATCTGATCACTTGGGATTTCGAAATGAGCCTTTTCCTCCTATGGCAAATCTGTGCACTGACAACCTCTCTGGGGATCCTTCTGCTGGACCATCTGAACGTTCAGGGACATCAACAAATATTCCCAATGATAAGCCTTTTCCTCTCAACTCTCTTGGAATGGGCAACTTAGGTTCATTGGGTTTGGATAGTTTAAGCTCCTTAAACGCACAGAGAACAGACGAAAAACGGGATGCCATCAAGCGCGGGAAACTACCTTTGTTTCTAGATATGCCGTTACCTCCAATGCTTGATTCAAGCAACAATGTGTTCTTGGGAAGATCAGCCAATCCATCTCTCATTAATCCAAACCGAGTGTTGAATCTCTCCAATCCGATGGGGAAAGATGTATCGGGATGCAGCTCTTCAGAGAACAAGCTACCTCATTGGTTACGAGATGCTGTAACTGTTCCCGCTGCAAAGTCACCTGAACCACCCACTCTACCTCCAACCGTGTCAGCTATAGCTCAATCAGTGCGTGTTTTATATGGTAAAGATTCTACTACCATTCCACCGTTTGTGATACCAGAGCCGCCTCCTCCTGTTCCTAGAGATCCAAGACACAGTCTGCGAAAGAAAAAGAAACGTAAATCACATCACTCGAGTCAAATGACTACAGAGATTGCTAGTAGCAGCCACAATGTTGTAGAAAGCAGCTCTCAAGGCAATCCAACAACATCCTCAACTCCTCCTTTGCCTCCAACGTCTCTATCAGGTGAAACTTCAGGGTCCTCTCAACCCAATTTACTACCTAACAACATGAACATCACAGAACCATCTTCCTCCGAGCCAATCAGATTACCACCAACTGAAGAAAATTCTGCTGTAGCGGCAGGGACATCTGAAGCACCAAAGCCAAGTCTAGAGGAAATCACTGGTACGTCAAGACCAATCTCACCAGAGAGAAAAATCTCTGAACCGAAATCTACCAACCAAGATGGAGAGTCAGATTTAGAAACCGGTGAGAAAAATGAGGCTAGTGGACTTTCAATTCATTCAGATGATAAGCCTTTGGATGTGAGACAAGAGGAACAAGAATCTGAAAATGCGTCAAACAAGCAATGTGAACCCATCGAGGCTGAAACTCCATTAACTGTCGCAGATTCAGAAGAAGAAGAAGAAGAAGAAAAATCCATGGAGATGGTGACAGATAATTCTCCTGGTGACGATTGAAGTCTTCAGTGAAATTGCATTGAAATTACCAGTGTTTGCTTTGTTTAGGTCTTTGCAATCAAAAGGGTACTATATGCTATTAAGTTTTGTAGGTATGACGCAAATCGGAGAAGAAGCAGTATATGTATTGGAACTTCCATTTTTATCTCTGGCTAAAATTTTTTTGATTGTAAAGCTTTGTGTAAGAGAATGGAGAAGCTATTTTAGTGATCTAACTGGTCGGTTTGGATTGTGTAAAACCAGTCACTTTCGATTGTAATGCTTTAGTGGAATGCTACAAGTAGAGATCTTACTTTTTTTCTGTTGGAAATTCGGTTCCGGTTTAGCGAATTATCTTAACCGGATTATATATTACATCTACTACCTCTGAACTGGTATTAATTAGTCTTCAGTTCATCAGTTGTAGTGCTCTAAATTTCTTTAACAATGCGCATGTGGAGGCTATATATATATATATATATAGATTTTGAAAGAGAAGTTTGAAAGATTCTAAATAGTTTAGAAGGTTCCTCTTTCTCCTGACATTTAATATGCTTTAGTGATAACGAATTCCACGATTTGATTGTTGTTGGAGACATTATTGATGTGAAGATTTTGATCAGAATTGGTCCAAAAAGTACAACTCTAGACTTTGACACATTTAACACTAACTACTCTCGTTAGCTCAACTAAAATAAAAATCTTTGTTCAACTAAACATCATTTGTATCAACCCTGACCATGTTCAGCGACTTCTTGACTTTTATTCTCCTTGTTTCAGTTGTTTTGAGTTTTAATTTATTTTAACGAATGAACTGATACTCTAAAAATGTAAGTGAGTTTGGAATAAGGGGATTGACTTTTAAGACATTAAGCAAGAATACTTTACAGGCTTTTTCTGGTTTTGGTTGCGATATACCTAATACCTAAAACCTAATTTCTTTGACATCATTATGGTATAACAAAAATTCCATTTGACTTACGAAAACTCAATTACTATTCTTGTTTTTTCTTTTCTGTTTAACTCACTTTTTATAGATAAAAGATGCACACGAGATTATAAAGTCACTTTGAATTTAATATTAATATGTTAGGTGGATCATGCACCAAACAAAGCTTTTTGATGCGTGTTTTGTAATTTTTTGGCTGAATTATTTCCGAAACATGAAAGCGTATATACTGAAACTACATGAGAATTGCTTTCAGGAAAAGGAAAAGTGAACAAAACGAAAAGATAACAATACGAAAAAGAAATGAAAGATACATGTATATTTTTAAACAGCTAGCACATAACTGATGTCATTGTTTATTGTTTAGTAATTAAGAAAATTAACTATTAAAATAATTGAGAAAAAGAAGGTATTGAGTGTAATGATTTCTTTGTTAGTATACTAGTTTTAATATACATATTGTTTTTATTTACTTTACTCTTCTAACTTGTTTTATGATTAGTTAAATGATACGTTTAGGTGAAAGAATATATGTACTATACGTTCTAAATTGATTATGAAACTTAAACTAGGGCTAACTTGAACTATACTTTTAAGTCAAAGCTTATCTCTTGACCATTTAAAAGTGGAAGGTTCCAATGTTATTATCTTTGCTTTTGTTTATCTTGTGTGTTTTGTTCTTAAAAAGCATAATAATGTAGACAGAGAAAAAGTATATTTGGTGTGTTGGCTTTTGATCGGTGGAGTGGAAGTCACATTTCCAACAAAAGAAAAACTGACTAACTATTTTAAAGTACGTACTTTTCAATATGTTTTAGAAATTTGGTTGTGTGTAATAATTCCAAAATGCATCAAAATTTAGATCCAAGAACTAATGAAAACAAAGTAGTTTCATTGATTTATAGAATTAAGAAGGTTTGGTTCTTTTTTTCGCTTCATATTTTCTTTCTATGATTAGAAGATTGGGTCGAACGTCGAAACCGATCAAACTATAATTTCATCCCAAATATCACTCGATTTTGTGACATCTAATAATATTTTTATCATTAATTTCAGTTGAGTAAATTGAGTTAACGACTTGTTTGTTGTTTGTTGGCTTCCTTTTACATCCATAGTATTTCCATTTAGCAAACAAAAAAGTCCATAGTATTTCTATTGATTTATGCTATACTCCTTTCAGTGACAAAGTATTCTTCACTAAATGCACCGTTCAAAAATTCTTGTTTTAAACAAAAAATTGGTCAAGCTATACTCTTATAACCGGTTAAGCTACCCATATTCTCAATTGGCCAAATTTTTTAACTCGTATATAAATATGTAACTTCTGCATTGTAACCACATGTTGTCTGTGTTTAAATTGATAGTTTTTCCCGCATTTATTGTAGTGCTATTCAAAAATTCTCCCACTAATTGGAATGGAACTAGATCCGATGAATAATTTTTTCCATGAAAATGGAAGTTGAAGTAGCAATTAAATTTGGGAAGGGAGTAGTTGTAACTAATTTGCTATAGGAAAGATACAAAGAGCTATGTCCCAAAAACATGAGTTATTTACATTCAAAGACACTTTCAAGTTTTATTCTTACAAAAAGACATTTATAGCTATTGGGTAACTTATTTTTTTGTTAATCCGAAATTGCCCCTTGTAGATGCGATAAGGTGGATGCGAACTAATGGATAGCAGATTAAACTCAGATTTCAAAAACAGTAATTATCTTTTCCCATCTATTTTATTTTGTATTTTTCTGTATTATAAAAGACATAAAAAAAATTTTTTTGGTTAGAATGAGTTATAATTTTATTTTCTTATTGTTTTAAAATCTATTATACTATAGTTTATTTATCAAACAAAAAAAATTTCAAAAACATATGTATAGACACTTTTTAAAAAATCAGAAGTCTAGCAGATATCCACTTAAAAAATATGATGTGGATGATGCATAATGGACAAATAACATAGACATGGTTGGGTGAATATGTTTTCATTGAGGTATCCACATAGACAATATGATGTGGATGATGCATAATGGATATATAACATGGACATGATTTGTGTGGATATGTTTTCATTGATATATTCAACATGGATATACATTTTACATTGTTTATAACCTATCCATATGATCTAAGTCCACCTTATGGACAATGTAAAATGTATATCCATGTCGAATATATCAATGAAACATATCCACCCAATCATGTCCATATTGTATATCCATTATACATCATCCACGTCATATTATCGGAGTGGATTTCTACCTACATTTTTGATTTTTAAAAAATTTTATACATATGTTTTTGAAAAATTTAAGAAACAATGAGAAAATGAAATTATAACTCATTTTAATTAAAAAAATTGTTTTATATCTTTCACAATACAGGAAAATACAAACAAAACAGATGTGAAAAAGTAATAATAATTTTTAAAATCTAGTTTTAATCTACTATCTACTTCTTCGAATCCAGCTTATCGTATCTACGAGGGGTAATTTCGGGTTATTTGGGCGTAAACAGTAAAATAAGTTACCCAATAGCTGAAAGTTACTCTTTTTGTTATTTTGTTATTTGAGTTATAAAAGTGTCTTTCAGTGTAATTATCTCCAAAAACATTAATCACTATGGTGTTTTTATTTTTTTCGTCTACTAGTATGGGTCATTTAGACGACGTCAAACAATTACTATCTAGCATTGAATGAGTATAGTAGGGATATGATATACAGTACTAAAATATTAATCAACAAGACACCAATCCAATCAAATTCAGCAATAAATGTCATTTAATATGTAACTAAGAATATACTATGAAACTCAAATCCACTTCATGGGGCTCTAGAAGCTCTCGCCATCATTTTTATTTTCATTGTTTATTTGTTTATTTTATATTATTTTATGTTTTATCAAGATTTTTCATTACTATTAAACTGAAACAGAGCTTACCATTGCTTATTTTCATAGTTGAGTTATGTATCATACTTTATTTTTATAAGTTGGTTACTAATTAAATTCGATTGTGTGAATATGATGAATAATTTAATAGGATAGAACTGTTTAATTTAGATTTTTATGATTGGTTTTCATTTTTCACCACGTTTCGAAACAATATTATAATTTTGTTTTTTGCAAAATTTTGTATTATAGTAGAAACTAGAAAGTAAAAACAATTTTTCAGCGTTAGAAATAGAATACAAAAATAACGATATAGTATTGTAAAGCCGTCTTAGCTCAGTGGTAGAGCGCGTGACTTTTAATCCCGTGGCCGTGGGTTCGATCCCCACAGACGGCGAGTAGCTTTAATTTTCTTCTTTTTTTCTCAAATTATTACCAATAAAAAATATTAATAGATGATTTACTAGTATATAATTAGATTTTGCTTTCCTTTCTTTACTTGGTCGTGTGCAATGACGATAACAACAAACCCATTATATGTAATAACCCAATCGCTCAGGGGTAATATAGTCTTAATCTGGTGCGTGTTTTAGTTGACAAATTGCTTTCTCCACCTTCTCTATCTTCTACAGAAATAATCTTTTGGTTTTTTTTTTCTTTTTAATTTTTTTCCCTCATCTCACAAAAGCAAATCATCCCATTCCATTTCTACATAAAAGGAAAAAAATGGCTCTCTGAAAATTCAAACAATCATCGTCGGAGAATTTTCCTCTCTTCACCTTCGTCGAATTCGCTCCACTTTTTCTCCCTCTGCTTGACGTCGGAATCTCACCGGAAATGGCGCCGAGTAGACGGGATTTACAGCTTACTCCGATCACCGGAGACGGCCTTGGATCTTCGGCGGCGGAGATCGGTGCGATGGAGGAAGTTCGTCTTCTGGATTCGTATGATGAAGGTGAAGAGAACGCGGACTTTTTGAGTAGAATCGAGGAAGGAGGTGGAAGCGTAAATTCCGGATTGAGGAAGATTCAGGTCGGAGTAACCGGTATGACTTGTGCTGCTTGTTCTAATTCCGTTGAAGGAGCTTTGATGAGCGTTAATGGCGTCGTGAAAGCTTCCGTTGCTTTGTTACAGAACAGAGCCGATGTCATCTTCGACCCAAATCTAGTCAAGGTTCTTAATAATTCCATTTTCAATCTCTTCTAAATCTGTCTTCGATTTTTTTAGATTTTTTTTGCTGAAATTCGTGATTGTTTTGGAAAGCAACACATATTTGTTGTTGCTTTTGTATAATCTTATTAGATCTTAAGCGCCTTAGCTTATTATTATTATTTTTCTTCTGATTGAAGCATTTAATTGTGTTGGGTTTAGGAAGAGGACATTAAAGAAGCTATAG